TTCCTTCATATGATTTATTGCATACTTAATTTCCAATTTTATAACCACCTTGTTATATATGACGTTTGATGAGAATAAAATATAGAACAAATCATGTAAGGCTCTTGGTGAATTTAGGTTGAAGGACTACTTATACTATTATCACATTAAAAACTATATGACACTTATTTAATAATTCATGATATGTTTCTTTTGTGGATTAATCTAATTCATTATTATTTTTAGTGTGTATCTGTGTGATGATTTTATATTTCATATTCATGATTTGTGAGACTTGATTATTAATCCTTAACGAATTAAATTATCTTAATAATAATACTTTACTATAAATATTTAAGAATAATACAAAGTAAAATCTTTTAATAAAGTTATTTACTTATATCATCCAAAATTTTATTTACTATTAAAAAATATTATTATTCTTATAAAAATTTGAAATACGCTACTTATTAAAATAAACTTGAGATAAAAATAAAGTATTTTCATAACATAAAGTTTAATAGTGCATCTATTAATACTTTTCACATGTTAAACTCACCTTAATCAATTTATTATTATTATTTTTACCATAAATACTATTTTAACATGTAATTAAAATTATTGATTAAGAAATCAACTATTATAATCACAATGAATGTGTATGAATTTATAACTACTAATATTGAGATTTATAACTATTTGATCATAAAGCATACATCATTGGCAAAGGCAAGTTCACTTGATCTTGTTAGGAAACAACTTGTGATTTACATATATTAAAAAGCAAAGTTAAAAACAAGAGGCAGGAATAGAATCCAACAAGTGCTACGGCTGCGTTGGGTTGGTGTCAAGTGTGTGGTTTCGTCATATAAATATAGAAATTCTGGAAGGCACGATTCGCTGGCAGCGGTAGCAAACAAGAAGGACCCCATGAGCGTAGAAGAATATCACCGTTCGTCAAACGAGTTCTTAGTAGCCACGTGTTGTTATGGCGTTGGAGGTGACAGCGTTTTTGTAGTTTGCGAGAATCTGATTTTATTTGGAATTTTGAAATGAGAGATACACTCTGTGGAGAGAAGGACCACATTAACGGCAACGGGTGTGGGGAGAGAAGGTAAAATGATGAAAGAAAACGGAGAACTAAAGTGCATTATCATTGTTACTGAATAACGTCAAAACAATCCTCACATGACAACCATCATATGATTCATACCACACTATCTTTTGGCCTTGGCAGATAATTACAGTCACATCCTTGAGAAGGAGCTAAGCTAAGCTAAGCTAAATCATTTTAGACTAATTGAACATCCAAATTTAAAGGACATTAGTATTTATCATAATATATTTTTGTTAATATTATTAATCAACTTATAATACTTTGTCCTTTAAAATAAGTATATATTTCGCTCAATTTATCTTTTAAAATAATTACTTTATTTTTAATACTCAAGCACGTATCTTTCCCACTTTGGGCGAATCATAGTACTTTCTATATGAAACGTTCTTTTATCATCGGATCATTACAAAAGTAGTTTTCTTGTGACCTGTTAACCTCGTGAATCAAGTAAAATTAAAAAGAGTGAATATTTAAAATGATTTCTTAAAATTTTGTATAGACACAATTTATATTTAAAAAGTAAAAATATATTAAATAGTTTTTTAAACTCATTATTATGAGATATGCTAGTTTTTTTAAAAATATTCCTATTTAATTTAATAAACCTGTTTATGAGACCTGTTAAATAACTCATATGACATCATTAATTTTTATCAAATACATCATTTCTTATAAGCTTTTTTTTTTTTAATTAATTTTGTCTCCAAAAACTAGCTCTGATAGCTAAATTATATAAATTGACTCTAATAATTTTTTTAAGAATTATTGTGGTTTTAGAAAATAAACTTTTACAAAAATCATTTTATAAAATGATAATTTCCTTAGTACGTGAAATAAAAAAAAATAGTACTTTTATTAATTTATCGATTAAAATTATTGTCTTTAGTCCCTGATATCGCTATTAGAAGTCAAATGTGACGAGAGAAGAAAAATTATAAGTTTATGGAGACAAGTTAAAAGATACGAAAATGTATTTTGGATTGATGTTTGGTATGATGTATCCTTAGCATAGTTTTAAGAATATTTCACGAGAGGATGCTAAGTACATTATGCAATTGGTGGTTTGTGATTATCATCTATAACTAAATGACACTTTTCTTAATGATACATCTTTAATAATGTCTTTAATTGACCATTTTAAACCTAGTTTTTGCATCCATGCAATACAATGACTGATTTTATTTTATTTTTTATCCATAATGCCCAGATGTGATGATATGCACATTCTATTGAAAGTATTTCTATATGGTTGTTCATTTTAAATTTGATAGAATTACTTTTTGAAAGATTAATATTAAATGAATCCTCAAGCAAATTAACATTTCCATGACTCTATATATATATATATTTGTTAAAATAAAGCATAACTTTAACTACTAACATTTAAATGCGGACAATGAGATGTGACTCTTCTAAATGCTGAGTATACTTTAGATGGTAAAATTAATGCAAAGGAGTAGTCATTGACTGAGAATGATTGAAATTGGGATACAAAAATACATGCACATATCTATAAAGAATTATGAAGTTAATTTTTTGTGGATAAGTTATATATACTAACACTTCTTCAGGTTAAGCAAAAGTTTATCTAATCCTTATTTTTTTAATTTGCATAAATTTCCTTCAATTTATGAAATAATATAATACCATGTATTTATTTTTATTTTGTTTTCCATCCGATTTAATTTGAATTCGACATGACTCGCGCACCTAGATGTAGTAGGTGAGTTTATCATTAGAGATTTTTTACATACACAAGAACTCGAAACCTTGCTTAAACACCTGAGATTTTATTTAAGCGATATTAAACCGTTTGTTACTCGAACCAATTTTTGTTGGTACTGTATATATTTTTTTATATAATTACACAATGTATTCCTTAATTCTTATATAATTACATGAGTTAGGGAAAATAAAAATAATATAAAAAGGGAGAAGCATTAAAAAGATTATCATATCGAATTCTTGTATAATTGTCAATTTCTCAATCAACAATTATCCCTCCATGCTTTTGTATTTTAAAATAGAAAAATGCTTAAGTACAGTAATTTGTACTTTTGATAATATTTTCTAATCAAAATTTAAAATTTAGGCCTTTTTACATAAATAAATTTAAAAATATTAATTATTTCCTAAATTTTCTAAAAAGAAAAAAATTATACAAATATTCTAAAAGTTCGTACAATAGTGTTCAAACTATAAAAACTTATTACATAAAAGTTAATTTTATTTTGATTTTAAATTTTTTTTTACACAGAAACAGATTTAAATCGACTACAATTCTACTTTTAAATTTTTTTAAAAGTTAATTTAAATCAATTTTTATTTTATTTTTAAATTTTTTTATATAGAAATCAATTTTAACTTCTATTTTGGTTTCAAAATTTGCTTTAGTAAAAGTCAATTTAAATATGATGTATTTTTATTAGGTTAGTATAAGACTTGTAAATATGGTATATTTTTTACTATGATTACGTTGTATTTAGTTTCAGTAGACGTGTTTTAGTGTAATTTAGTGGTAAATGTCTTTTAAATATGATCTATTTTTTAGTGTAATTTAGTGGTAGATGTCTTTTAAATATGATCTATTTTTTACTATTATTCCTATTGTATTTGGTTTCGGCAAACTTGTGTTAGTTTAATTTGGTGATGTATTATTCTGTACAATCTTATGTGAATGAGTTAAAATAAGTAAACATGTAAGCAATATGTTCCTTTGAATTCGTCATTTTTTATATCGAATACCATTTGATCCAATATCAACTGATATCTTATAAAATATTTTTGACACTTGTATCTTATTTTCTTGTACTCCTCCAATATTTGCCTATCTAATTGTAGCAATATAATTGGTTGACGCACAACCAACCATGCTTGACTTTCACTACAAAATGTCTCTCGTTTCACTGTATTTATAATCTCATAATTAGAATATATAAAAATGTGAACGTAATTTTTTCATTTTACTTTAATTTTCACGCTCAATTTTAAATTTTCTCATCTTCAAAATTCTCTAATATTTTTTAATTTATTTACGTAAAAAAGCCCAACTTTTACCACAATATTTAGCAACAGTATTAAATATAATTTTTTATTAATGAAATTTTAACTGATAAACAATACTAACAACATATAAATTTTATCCTTTAAAACATAATAAACATTTTAGTAGAATCAAATTATATAGGGTAATAAAGTCACTGTGTGTATAATTATATAAATATATAATTTAATAATTCAATAACAAATACAACACACGTATCAAATTTTAAATATCACAACTACAAATGTCCAAATGACATAACATTTGATGTAGATCATTAAAAAAATAATATAAAATAATTCAATAATTTGTTTGATTAATTTTAGATTTTATAAAAAATTATTAAATAATTCAAATTAAATAATTCAAATGTTTAAGTTTGATATTCTGTGTAAATGAATTACATTTCTCAAATTATGGTTGGACTCTAAAGTTGTAAGTCCTATTCTTAGTCAAGAGAAATTGTATGATGATTAACAAACGCTTATTAGTGTTCTCAGAGCTCAGTTAAGGATTTGAAAAAAAATTTATTAAAAATGTTATTAAATGTACATCCAATATGATTTTTAGTTATGTTTTTTAAAAATTAATTTTGAATCGGTGCTATTTAAAAAAAGATAGAACAAAAAAACATGGGAAATTGGAGATGAATGAGGTTATCCGGAATGACCAAACTATAGCATACATTAATTATTATGCAGCTGTATCCTGCATGTGTTGTTGGTCAACGTTGCCTCCTACTAAGCAAAGAATCTCCCAGAAACCACACCAATCCAAAACAATTTAATTTCGTCCAACCAATTAATATAACCATATTGCGCCGCGATAATTATAGAATCCAATGATTCCCACATCAACCACAAACCATTTCTTTTTTCTTTTCTACTTTCTTTCTTCTTCTTTTTTTATTTAATAAAAAGAGAATAATTTGCTTCTAATTTGCAACTCTACCAACGGCTTTGCTTTGAGTCACAAAACACAAATGGTGTTACGCGACGACCCGAATACGGTCACTGAATCTTTATGTCCTGAATCACAAATTTCCTTATATATAGATAAATGAATCTCTATCTTCTTCTCCCTCACTCTCTCAGTGTAATTGTAAAGAAATAATGAACGCTGTGGTACCCAAAGCATAACACCACAGTGAAACTGTCAACTTAACCATTTCTTTATTCCTATACTCTATTACCCAAAGATGGAACCTAGCTTGGATTTGAGTTTGAGCTTTGTTCCCAGAAACGTTTCTGATATTCTTGGCGATGTTCCTAAGAGCAAAGAAGGGTCTCAGAAAATTTCCACGCTTGCGGACTTTGTCAAAAGGTTGGAAGATGAGATGAGGAAGATTGAGGCTTTCAAACGTGAGCTTCCTCTTTGCATGATCCTCGTTACCGATGGTGGGTTAATTAATTAATTTAAAATTAATTATTTTTATGTTATTATTGAGCGTGTAGTACTGTACTTTTTGGTTGATGATTAATATGTTTTTGGGGGGCATGCATGCAGCTATTAGTAGATTGAAAGAGGAAATAAATGGGGGTGTGAGAATGCAAGATGAACCCGTGGTTGAAGAATTGATGACACTGGTGAAATTGAAAAGCAATTCTGGGGGAAATGGGTCTTTGACTATGGAGAAGGGAAACGGTGATAAGAAGAATTGGATGAGTTCTGTTCAGCTATGGAACGCTAAAACCAAACAGGTAAATTTTGAGACCGTAGTTTTGGTAAAAAGGATTGCACTTTGTTGTAGTTTCCATAAAATTAAGACCATTTTTTTATGTAATGGCAGAGGAGTGAAGAGGATGATTGGTTTGTGCCAGAAAAGCCAATTCAAGCACAGGACGAGACCAACAAGTGTGGAGGAGCATCATCACTAGCATTGAATGGAAACAAGTGTGTGTTGAAGACAGAGATGAGGGATGACAAGGAGGTGTCAAAGGTTCCTAGCCTTAGTTTGATGACTCCAACGTTTGAACTGAAACATAGAACCTCAAGAGGTGGTTCGCCTCTGATTTCCAGAACGGTTGAGATTAAGGGTCAGTCTCAACCGCAGCAGAATCCAAGGAAGCAAAGACGATGCTGGTCACCAGAGCTTCATCGGCGATTTGTTGATGCGCTTCAACGATTAGGAGGACCACAAGGTAGATTAAAGCTAACATTTAAGCATGATTAATTATGAGGGAAAAAGGTTTATTTATAATTGAATTCATTCCTTGTTTTGCAAATAGGGGTGGTTAAATGGATAAGTCTTTTTTCTTTTCAATCTAGAATTGAAAAATTGGGTCTTATTGGTTTATTTGTTCTCTTATGCAGTGGCCACTCCTAAACAGATTAGAGAACTGATGCAGGTGAGAGGCCTGACAAATGATGAAGTGAAAAGCCATTTGCAAGTGAGTGCTTGATTAACAACCTTTTCCTCTTTAATATTAACATTTCCTTTTGTTTTTTCATCCTTTAATGACCCAACCAAATCTATGGTGTATTCAGAAGTACAGGCTTCATTTTAGAAGACCTCAAGTTTCTTCAGTTGGGAAGGCTAATAGTGGCTTAAGCATGATGGCAAAAGATCAATATGTAGATAAAAAATCAAAGGGAAACATATCACAATCTAGCTCTCCAGAAAGTCCTCTCTTTCTAGGAGGGTCTGGTAACAGCATGGACACAGAAGAAGATGAGCAATCAGATTGTCACAATTGGAAAGGTGGACTTCACCACCACCAAGAAGCTGATGTTCTGTGAGATTCTGAAGTTTTCGTATACATAACAATAAAACATTATATAAATGAAGACTCAGAATTTGACAGCATAAAAATAAAAAATCTAACACATATATAATATAAGGGATCCAATCCAATCGGTGTTGTAATCATATGAGAGACTTCTAGAGTGAGTGGTTAGAGATTTTACAGTGTTTCAGAGTTCTCTGCCATCTGTTTTTAAGAAGAGGTTTTTGTTATGACCAATAAAAATGGTTGGTAGCTGTAATTTTGTTCAATAAATTTCCAGAGTGTAACTCCCTTGGCCTTTTTTATTCTCTGCTTTAATTTATTGGGATTTCCATGTTAAATTTTATGTAAATTCAGAATAATATGGAATCCACCTCTGAATTATCCGTTTGGCTTCTTGTGGGTAATGATAATATTCCTTCCCTCAGGTCCATGCCGCCAATCAATCCTCAGTTTAGACAATTCATTTCAATTCTCCCCCATATCTATTCTAATAGAAAACGATTTTTTTCTAATTATTATTTTACTAAAAAAAGTATTTCCTATATTAAGATTATAAAAGTCATTTACTTCGTACTTTTTAAAAATAATTTTTTTAATAAAATATATTTCATACTTGGGTATTATATGTCCATAAAGTACATAATAATTTTATATAAAAAAGTCTATAAAAAATAATTTCAAATAAAAATATATCATTTTAATAAGAAATATTATTTTTTTAACATGAAATTGTCCTGTATTCTATAACATGAGGAAGCATGTTGATGGAAACATAAAATAGGTGTTCCGCCATGCTTGCTCCGTCATAAATTTTCTCAAGATATTAGTAAGACAAGGCAAGATTATACTATTTACTCTCCATATATATAAGATCACTTATTATGGTTTTTTCTATTGTTTATTTCTCATATTTTGATTTTTTGTTTTGGGACAACTTGAGAACTCATCTTGAACTAGTAGCGGCTGAATATTTAAAACATTTTATCTAAAGTTCATAATGGTTATACGCCCACTACTTCATACACACTCAAATGCATTGAATCACAACCAAAAGGTTCGTGATCTTCTACAGTTAAGCTACATTAGAGGATACTACGCAATTATGTTACATTAGCTCGTTTGTGTGTGACTCGGCATCTAAATTCTATAATCAATCAATGTCACTATGTTACTATTACTATGTTTTATTAATATTTTCCATTTACTATTTAGTTTTACAATTTTTATTTTAAAGCAAACACTTATAGAGTGAAATAACATGATCACTTCTTGAAAATGATTTTGAAAAGTCATTCATATACAACTATTTTTTAAAGTCAAGAAGAAGTTGTGTGTGAACTGCCTTCAATTTAAAATTTTAATAAAGTGATACTTTAGAATATTTTTTTACAACGATTCAACATCATTTTTTAATATGTTTTTTATTATAGTGAATTAAAATCAAATTTTTTTTTATGTAAACGTGAATTAACCTTTAATATTAATATACTAATATTTATTATATATAAATTATCAAAATAAAACTTTAATTTTAATTAAACAATAACTCAAACAATTGTTACACTTTAATTTTTTCTTACGCTAACTAAAGTATCAAATATTATTATTCTAGTTATTTTTGTTCATATACACTATATCATTTTCAATCTCGATACCTTATATTTATTAATTTTTGAGTATTAGGGTTAAATCTATTTCGGCCGTCCATGAATGGACAGGAATAATGAGTCATTGTCGTGGACAGGCCATTAACCTCAAAATCAACCGTGGATGTGCTTTTCCGAATTTTGGCAGCTTACTTTAATCAACATATTTTAATTAATTTTTGTATTTTATTTTAAATTTTAAATGAAATAATTAATATAATATTTTGAATCTTTTACTAATGCTTCTAACAAATTAATTTTACTTACACTTTTATGTAATATTGATGACATTTTACTACACAAAACAAAAATATTATTGTTATAAGAGTTAGTCTATGAAAAGACAGAATTTTGATTAAATAAAAATATATATATCAACCTGATAAATTTATTGATTTGTCTTTAAATTATTTAAAAAGGTTATGATTGAGTCACCAAAATTTATAAAACAATTTTAATTTGATTCTTTGATTACAATTGTGTCAAATTGGATGGAATATAAGAATCTGTTGATTTTTCAAAAAATAATTTAATACTTTATTTAATAATTAAACAAACGACTAGAACTTTATACTATTTGAAAATTTTCATATAAGTTCTTATATTTTAATAGGGACCACTTTTTTTTTTTCAATTTGATAATAACATTGTCCTAACTTGGGAATTTAATTTTAAAAAGTTATATTTAAGGATCCAAATCTAAACTCTTAAAATATATAAATTGATTTAAAATTTTAAAATAATTAAAACAAAAGAAATTTCAAAACATTTTGCATCATTTTTCCATACTCAAATATTCTTTGTTAAGTATCTATGGATGAAAATACGATGACATCAATTCTTATGTTAATACAGACCAAATATATTATATTTAGACATATCACATAATTAATAAAAAATTAAACAAAAAGTGAAACTGATAAATTTATATTTTAACATATTTTTATCAGTTTAAATGACTTTAAGAGAATATATTTTGTAAAAGTTCGATTATTTTTTATAAAATTATGGGATAGTAGACAGTTAATTGAGAAATATTTTAATTGGATAATTAATATTGCACCTTAGGGAAATGGGCAATGGATGTAAATCTTTGTAAAGTACACTTTCATGAAATTTTTTCATCTCTTACTTATATGTACCAAATACCAACAATGTTGTTGCTAAGAAGTAAGAAAACACTTGACTAGTTATTGAATTTAGCAACTGAAATAAATCTTTAGCAAACAACAACTAATTTAATAACTAAAAAAGACCCGTCACAAGTAGCAACTGAAAAAATATGTGACTAATAGCTACAAATTTTAGCAACCAAAACAAATATGTAACAAATAGCAACTTAACAAAATTTATGTAAATTGATACCAATTTTAACATCCAAAACAAATTCGTGACAAATAGATACCGAATTTAGCAACCAACACAAATATGTGGCAAATTGTCACCAAATTTAAAAACTTAAACAAATCCATGACAAGTGTTATTTACACACTAAATATAATAAATAATATAAAGTTTATATTTTTTATAATAACAAATTAAAGTTGTTCTTAAATTTTATTATTTTTTAATTAAATATTTTGAATATAATAAAATATATGTTATTAAAAATAAAAATATTTTCTTAATTATTTTCAAATTTTATTTAAATTTTTAATTTAAATACCTATAAATGTTTATATATTTTTCTATAAAATTTTAAAAGATAAAAATTAATTTATACACATATATATGTAGAATTTTTAAAATGAAAAAATAATAATATTTTAAAAAAACATAAAAATATATTTGGTATATAAAAAATGATATAAAATTTATAATTTTTAATAACAACAAATTAAAACTATTGTAAAAAATAAATAAACTACAATTATTAAATGTTACCTAAAATTAAAATAAACTATAATTATAAAATAAAAATTAGGTTTATAGTTATAACTATTGTTAGATAAATTATTTTAAAATTTTTAATAACAACATTTAATTGTTGTTGGTCAATATTTAAAATATAGAATAACTATTGATTGATGTATAAAATCGTTTAAATTATTCTATTATCATCGTATTATTAATTTAGTAACATAAAAATTAATAATTTTTTATAACTAATATAGTTATATTTTTAAAACATAATAAATAATAATTATTATTTTATGTCTAAATTTTAAAATAATAATTATAAATGATTGTAATAAATTTAAAACATAATTTATAGTTGTGATTAGAATAATTAATACCCAAATGATTTTAAAGCAAGACAATATTTAATTTATGTTGTCTAATATTTAAATTACAAATATACATCCATATTTTTTTATATAAAAAATTAATTTCTAATTTTAATTTCTACTCTGTTCATATAGTTATATTTTTCTTTATGGTTGATATAATAAAATATATAAAAATAAATAAATTTAGTATAATTTATTTGTTTTAAAATAACTTAATTGTCATAGTATATAAAATCAAATATAAACATCATAATATTACTATAAAATTATAATATTAAAATAATTAAATAATTAGTTATTATATTGTTTCATTTTTTATAATTATTCAAATAAAATTTAATAAATAATATCCCAAAAATGATTACAGTAGTTTTAAATATGATTGTATTAATTCTCTAAACATCACATGATTTTTTTTTAATTTTAAAATTAAAAGATTTATCTTAAAATTTTAATATAATAATAAATTTAAATATTTAAAATATTTTTTATTTTTTATTTATAAATTTTATTTAATTTTAAAAGTATTTTCCAAACATACTATCAAATATTCTATGATGACCGTAAAAAATTCATATCATTGTGAATTTAATTCATATTAATCTATATTTCATTTTTAAATTTAATATATGATATTATAAACGATAGTATCTCTTAATTTGAATAATAATTTTTCAGAATTTTTTCTTTAACATTAATAATTTTATTTTTAATTCATTATATTTAATATAACAACATATTAATTATTAAAATAAAAATATTTTCTTAAAATAATAACTTTTTATAATATTTTTAATATCACTAACTATAATATAAAATATAATATTAATATTTTAAAAAATAAAAATTGATATATATATATATATATATATATAATTTGTTAAATGAAAAAATAATATTTTTTAAAAAATATAAAAATATGGTAAGTTACAAAAAGTTTCTCTCATAAAAAAAAAAGAACTACGTCATTAGAGCGCATAAATTAAGAAGCCTCAATTCTAGACAAAAATAAATTTCACTTTCCTGCACAAAGATCAAGCCCTTACAAAGCAAAGTTAGCGTGTCAGTTTAGCTTTTGCTGATGAAGCCTTTATCAAATATCACATGGGTGGGACATTCATCATTTGAAAAGGTTTTACGAGGTCAACCTGGCCATATGAGGTACTTGTCATATATGTTTATTTAATTTTTGAGCAAGGCATTTATGTTCCCTATTTATGAGAATTTGCATTGTTATTATTATTTGCATAATCAGATAAAACTTGAATAAGAAAATGCAGGTCTAGCTAGTGGCACCCACCCTACCCTTTCTCGTGCAAAGAAATCAGTAGCAAATTTGGGATTGGGTTGTATAAAGATTAATTGTTGTGAAGATGAATGCATGTTATTTTGTAATGTCGATAAAGATGATAGTGTTACAACTTGTAAATATTATCACAAGGATCAATATAAAATAACTTGTAAAAGGGGTATTAAAAAAAAATCTCTATTAAAAGA